ATAGTGACAATACTGCTGCTGCTGCTACTACTACTACTACTACTGCTACTACTACTACTACTACTACTACTACTACTACTACTACTACTACTACTACTACTACTACTACTACTACTACTACTACTACTACTACTACTGCTACTACTACTACTACTACTACTACTACTACTAATGATGATGATTAGTAGTAGTACTACTAATGATGATATTGATAATGATGCTGCTAATTATATTAATGACAATGAAGATACTACTACTACTACTACTACTACTACTACTACTACTACTACTACTACTACTACTACTACTACTACTACTACTACTACTACTACCACCACCACCACCATTACTACTACTACTATTATTATTACTAATACTAATACTAATGATGATTATAATGATATTCATATTAATATTGATAGTAATAATATTGATGATAATAACCGTTGCAGTGGCAACAACAGCAGTAGCTAATAATGGTGATAATAATGATAAAGATGACGGTGATGATGAAGATGAAAGCAGTAGTAATATCAGTGACATTGATAACAATGATAATACTGATGATAACCTTTATAATGACGATTATCATGTGAAACATGAACGCTTCGATAATCATGATAACGATAAACACAACGATAATGACAATGATATTAAGGCAGTAGTGAAATTGATACTGTAATGATAATAATAATACTAAAATGATGATCGTGATGATTATGATTATTCATAATATGGATAAAAATGATACTACTAATAAAACGACTGCCAATGGCGGTGGTAGTGAATATGAGTATGTATATGATATGCAATGAAAACTTGATATAGATAACGAACAGTTATCATAAACAACATTTATAATAATGATGACAAACTGATAGATAGTAGTCACAATAACTGATAGTAACAACAATAATATAATCAATCATAAAATGAATATAATAAAGATCAAACTGATAATTTTATGAACACCCATAAAGCTGTTAAATGCTAGAAGAAAACAAGAACGGAAGGAAAATGAGCGATGAAGGAGAGGAAGAAGAGGACAAAGGAGGAGACACTGCATAGGACTCGAGGGGACAAGGAGGTCGTTGTGGAGGGGGACGTGATATGTGTATTACGTGTGGGGGGGGAGGGGAGGGGGAGGGAGAGGAAGAGAGAGGGGAGGGGAAAGAATGGGAGGGAGAAGAAAAGGCAGAGAACGAGGGAAAGTGGGAGGGAGACGGAGAGGAAGAGGGAGAGAATGGAGAGGGTAGGAGAGATAGGATAGAATGGGAGAGAAAGAGACAATAGGATAGAATGGGAGAGAAAGAGACAGTAGGATAGAATGAGATAAGATGAGAGAGAGAGAGAGAGAGAGAGAGAGAGAGAGAGAGAGAGAGAGAGAGAGAGAGATTGTGTGCGTTCTTGCGAGTATGTATGTTCACCTATGTGTGTTTGGTGTATACTTATATATTGTGTCAGTCCGTGCATCCACAAGCCAGTTACAAAATAACATAAGGTAGTCCTGTCTTAAAAATAATGATATATGGATACAGAAAGAACGACGATAACACTACAAACGCCGATAACAAATGATAACAGTGAATAACATTAATCATACCGATAATACTAATTAATCACCAGAGCCCCGTAGATCGCACGGCAGCTCGCCCCCTCCTTCGCGAGGGTGAATGTGACGGGAAAGCGAGTAAATTGTTGAAGTGGTTTGTGCTTGAGCTGGCGATAGAGACATATGGGCCCTCAGCTGGTGGGCTCTTTTTATTCGGAATCAAAACTTGTGTGGCTTGTTGCGTGTTTGGGGAGGGCTATGTGTTTTTTGTGTATTGTGAGAGGGGGTTGCGTGTTGGGAGTTATGCGTGGGGTTGTTGGTGGGTTGTGTGTGTGGGGGTGTGTGGTATGGGAGGTGGTGGAAGGGTGTGTGTGGGTTATGTGTGTGTGCTGTCTGTGTGAGATTGTGTGTGTGTGTTGTGTGTGTGTGGGTGGTGTGTGTGCGTGTGTGTGTGTGTGTGTGTGAGTGAGTTTGAGAGAGAGAGAGAGAGAGAGAGAGAGAGAGAGAGAGAGAGAGAGAAGAGAGAGAGCGAGAGGAGGAGAAGATATTGGAGGGAGGAGAGAGTGCTGGCGAGAGAGAGAGGAGAGAGAGAGAGAGAGAGAGAGAGAGAGAGAGAGAGAGAGAGAGAGAGAGAGAGAGAGAGGAGGAGGGTGGATGGAATGGAGGGAGGAAGAAGGAAAGAAGGGAAAGAGGGAAAGAGGGAAAGAGGGAAAGAGGAAAGAGGGAAAAGAGAAAGAGAGAAAGAGAGAAAGAGAGAAAGAGAGAGAGAGAGAGAGAGAGAGAGAGAGAGAGAGAGAGAGAGAGAGAGAGAGAGAGAGAGAGAGAGGAAGGGAAAAAGAGAATTAAGAAAGGTCAAGCAGATGAATTTTCTTCCCCATTTTAAATAGTGGAAAGATTAACTACGATGGCTTAGAGGGAGCTAAATTTCATCCTTGTTCTTTGTAGAAT